TTTCTACCATCTGTCACTAGCGGCTTAGAAGCGCGAGACATCGCGGCCGACGACCATGGCCTTGAGCCAGTCGAGAGGCACTTGCATGCGCAGGCGCCAGCTACCGAGCTTGGTGAGGTACGCGCTGCGCCACACAAACCACGCTTTCCAGCCGCCAAACTTGGCGATGGGGCCGGTGCGGTCGCCGATCGTCACGTCTTTGGCCTGGAAAAGCCCTTCGTACGACCCGAGATACGCCATGAGCCCAAGGCTTTCGAAGCGATAGGGCGTCGGGGCCTCGCCTTTAAGAAGCGCCGTCAAGTACTCGGCTTGCCCCTGGGCTTTTTGGGCCGTCGCTGGCAGCGGATAATCGACAATCTCGGCGCAGTCGCCAATGGCAAAGACAGACGACGCCTCGGGAAGACCTTGAAACGGACTACCGTGCGAGGGCGACGACGGCAGCCCCAGCACCTACACTGAGGGTTACACTGTGAAGCGGACAGGTTGGTCTTAGTACTTGGCAGTGGTCGTTGGTGAGGATGTTGCCCCGCTTCGACTTCGCCCACGGCAGCGACTTTGTGAGCACGTTGGGCCCGACGCCGGCCGACCAGACGACGAGACCGCACGGGATGCGCTCGCCCGAGTCGAGGACAACGGCGTCGGCCAATACCTCCTTGCAGTTGGCCTTGATGATGCGCATGTTCTTGCGCTTGGCGATCTTGACCATCGCTTGGTCGCGGAGGCTTTCGCTGAACATGGAGAGGATGCTGCCGGCGTCAATGAGCGACACTTGGAGGAGGTTGGTGACCTACAACACGCAATCGTATCTACGCTCTAGCATGTCGAGACGATATGTACGTGTGGGTAGAGGCGTGTGAGGTCTTGCACGACAAAGTCGTAGAGCTCGGCGCAAAACTCGACGCCCGTGGGGCCGCCGCCGACCACAATAAAATGCAGTAGCTAACGCTGGACGTCTTCCGGGACGCCGGGCTGCGTCGCGAGCTCAAAGTTTTCCAAAATGCGCTTGCGAATCGCGCCTACGCATCGTACGGTGAGCGACGAGAAAACACATGATCCGTACGCGCGTGGTGGACCTCCTTGAGGAAGAACGCGTGCTCGTCGACACCGGGCAGACCAAACGTCAGCGGGCGCGACCCGCACGCCACGACGAGCATGTCGTAGTCGACGTTGTACGTGCGGTCGCAGAGCACGCTGGTGCACTGGACCTTCTTCTCGATGGTGTCGATCTCGCGCACGCTCGCGAGGATAAAGTCCTTCTCGTCACGGAACGCGTTCTCGCGCACAGGCTCGGTGATCGAACGGAACTCGAGCGTCCTATAAGATCCATGCTTAGAGCCATGTCACCACGTAGGAGCGCACCCAACGGTCGTACTCGCGAGCAGCGGCGTGTAAAGAAAATGCTACCAACAAATAAGCGACAGCGACAGGCAGATAGGGAGCGTACGTTGCGCTCCGAGATGACGACAAACTCGACGTCCTTGCCGATGGCAGCGGCGATCGCGGCGCGGTGGGCCTTGCCGTTCGTAAGGAGCTTGTAGCCGGCCCAGCCCGTGCCGACGATGACGACGCGGAACTTGTCGGCGGCGGCCGAGAAGGTGCGGCTATAAGTACGTAGAGGCGGAATCGATCGGCGGAGCATGGCCAGTTGAAGAGTGGTTGACATCATGGTGGCCAAGGCGACTGTTTGCGGCGCGGATCGTGGTCGTCAACGAAATGCCGGAAGATCGCAACAGAATCTTTTCTTCTCTATCTTGATGTTTGTATGGACTGTCCCATGGCGACGATGTGGCATGGACACCGAAGGCGCCCATCGAAATGCCCGTTGGCAACGGGACGTTATCGTTGCGACTACACCGAGTTAAGCAACGCGTGAGTATCGCAACTAGCTTTTTCATGCCAAACGTGCAAGCCCAATTTGACGGTGAGCTCTCACGGCAGAGCCATTCCTTCACCACCCTTCACGAAGGGCTTAGTGCCGCGCTCGTGCCGCCATCATCATGTATTGTATCGACCAGCACACATCTCGGTATCTGCGACAGCCAGCGCTTATGCCTCATGGAGTGGTCTCATCGACGATGATGCACAGGGCTTTATCACCGCATCAAGCTCGCCAACGCCGACGACTTGGTATTTCAAGAAAAATGTCGCGAACACACGACGAGTTGTCGACGCTACATTTCGTTGGCGTCGAGTATTATCCTGCGAAAGCGCTGGTGCTGAGTCGATAAGCAAGCTAACTCGTGGCACGTTATCGACTTCTACTTGATTTCTTGCCTGCAGGCAGTGTATGCCATAGTGAGAACACATACAAAGGGAATGTGTGTAAAGTCCTGTCCCATTGGCTAAAAAGGCACCAATCCGAAGGAGTCTCGTACACTGCAATATGTATTTCCTAGACGACAGATACCGTACATCCAATCGCATAAGCGACATCCACACACCAAACGAAAACGGGCATTTATAGCCGACACCATGGCAGCGGACGCGAGCGCTGGCAGCGTCCCGGCGTTGATGAACTACCTGCACCCTGGCTTTAACCTCGCGTCGCTCCCAAACCCGAGCCTCATGATGGGCGCGATGCAGAACATTGCCGCGCGCCCACCGCCCCGCGCACCGGACGAGCCCAAGCTCCAGGTGCTCAAAGAGGTGGCTGTCGCCAAGCACAGCCAGCGCAATGTGCTTTCGTTCCAGGTCAAAGCGGGCGCAGCTGCGCTCTACTCGATCCTGCAGCCGACGACCATTGCGTACGAAGCGCCCGACGTGACGTGGGTCAAGCTGCTCGAGGCCGTCGCGTTGATCCCGTCCGGTCGACCACAAGAGATCCTCCAGCTGCTCCACGAAGCGTACCGCCTCCTGCCGCTCGGCGACTTCCGCATCCTCTTTGCCCGCGACTTTCGCGACGAGCTTGCGGCGTCCGCGAGTGTCTCGTCGGCGCGCGACGGCGTCGTTCTCAAGAACAAGGTCAACGTCTTCCTCCGCGCGTTCATGGCCGACCCCGTCCACGGCTACACGCTGGCCAAGCAGCACGTTCACGACGACCTCTATATCGACGATCCTGTCTCAACGCCCGTCGGCCCCGGCCTCGTGCGCGGATACCGCTCCAACGATGGCTTCTTTGTCGTCCTCTTCCCCTTTGGCCATGCCTACATCCACGAAAGTAGCCTTCGCCGTGTCCCGTCGCGCCTCCTGGTACGGCTTTCGCTTCACTACTTCTATGCGCCATCGCTGGTATACTCATGGGCTGCACGGATAGAACGACTTGGTCGTGCAGCGACGAGGCGACGGTGTTGCATCACGGCCTCTGGTACGATGACCATCTCGCTCCTGGCAGTCGCACTCACATTCACACGACTAGAAACGGCGTAAAGAAGCATGACGCCCTTCACTTAGTACATGTGGGAATTGACTACAATTGTGTCGTTGTTGGCGGCCTCGAAGGTCACGAGACGCTCGTACGCATCGCAGAGTGCGACCTTGCCGCAGCGCAGCATGTGTCGAATCAACGCCAGACGCTGAGCCAGCGGCGCGCTGCTGTGCAGTCGTGGCGGATGCAGGTGGTGCCGATAACTCGTGGCGAACGTCCAGTGCGCGAACCGAGAGACAATGTGACGGACTTCTCGCTTGGCGATACACCACACGAGCTTGCGAGCGCCGAGGTTGACGCTCGCCGACGCAATCGCTCGTTGGATACGGACGCGGTGCCGCGCGACTCTGTGGACATTGGCCGAGTGACGCCAGAGGTGGAACACCAACGTGACCCACGACGCCGACGCGTTGATCGCGTTGCGCCGTGTGTGCCACGTCACGAGGCGGTGTCGCAGTCGCCTCTCGCGGACGAGTCGCACCCAGGGTCGGAAGACACGGTTGCATCGGTCGTGCCGTTGCTGACGTCGGTAGAGGAGAAAGCGACGCCATCTACGAGAGAGGAATGAGAGAGGAGACAACGTCGTGCCGCACCGAGCAAACGCAGCCAAAAGCCAGTAGGCTGTCGACGTCGCGTCTCGATGTGTCACTGCATCCCAGAGCTGAGCGTGCAGCGCGTGTCGCTGCCAGCGCGCCCAACTGGTAACGAGCGAGCGTCGGGCGCGGAGCGTCAACAGCGCGAGGAGCTTGCGGCTCGCACGGGGCCGTGCGCGCGACGATGCAAATGCGATGTAGACGGGATGCGATAGAAGACGCCGCGGGCGCTGGAGACGACTCGGTCGGCGCCGGCGGCAGGCGATTTGCCACGCACGAAGCAGAAACCGAAGTGCAAAGTGAGACAGGCGGCAGATGCCGATGCGCCGACGCTGCAACTGCCGTTGCACTTGCCGTCGCCACGTTTGGAGCGCCCGGTGCTTGACAAAGTAGGTGGTATTCTGATTTTGCAAAGCTCTGTAGTGACGTGTCAGCATCCACCGCTGCCACAGAGCAAAGGTAGTACGCAGCGTGAGGACGTCGTAGAGGCATCGACGAAGCCACGTTCGCCACGAGACAAAACCGGTACGTAGTATCGTCGTACGATGGCGTGCAAAGAACGCATTTTGACGGCGTCGGCGCGTCGACGCCCAGTGCCGCCAACGCGCAAAGCGCTGCCGCTGCTGTTGAAAGGCACGGTCGGCCAGGTGCCACGCGAGGCGACGGTGGCACTCGACAGCGCTGGTGACGAGTTGCTGCCAGCACCGCCACGAGCGCTGGAGAAAGCGAGAGAGTTGGCGGCGACGGAGATCGTGGAGCCGAATGGCGCATGCGACGTGCCACTGCTGCCACCAGCGCATCGCCGCTTCCGTCAGTCGTCGATGATGCGTCGCGAGGTGCTGAAGCCCCAGAGCAAGTTTGGCGTACTGGAAGCGGCGCTCATGCTGCCGTAGGACGCGGTGGGCGTGCTGCTGGGCTTTGGCAAACCCGCGAAGGTGGTGCTGCATGAGCTGTGTGCCCCGTGCATGGACGACCCATAGCGCCCACATTGCGAGACCACGGCGCAACCGAGCCGACGCGACGCGGTGCACTCCACGCCGCAAGACCTAGGTGGCATCCATAAGGCACCATACCGAAACGGAACGCAGGTGTACTTCATGCAAGGTTTGTAAGATGATTTGACGCTGCTGCCAGAACCGCAACGCGAGCCCTTGTTGCTGACGGCTTCGGTGCCGCCATAACTTGCTACACGCTCTACGCAGCTGCGTGGCGCTAGACAGACATGTTGACGCGTGAATGATGAAAGGCAGCTGAACGCACCGACGCCACGTGAACCAGCGCATGCGAAGGAGGTAGCGCGCAAGCATAGCCGCGGCGAGACGCCAGTGCCACCGAACACGACCTGTACGTTCATGCCGGCGCTTCCACTGCTGCCAAACACGACTAAGATCCCTATCAGAACAGAATCTTAGTGTTCGATATCGCATCGCCCGTCGTACCGCGTCGCGTGGCTCTTCGCGACGGTACTGAACACGCGCCAGTGCCAGTATCCATTTCGTAGCCGACGTCGAGCGTGATGCACGAGGAGCTTGGAAAGGACATGACACTGGCCAACTCGGGTGCGCCACTGACGCCATGCGGTACGAACAACACATCGTGACAACGTCGTCACAAGGGCTGCGCTACCAGTGCGCGCTAGAAGCCGAGCACGATGCCGGAGCCTCCAGTCCCGAAAGGTGCGGTCGACGTGGTTGGTCTGACGGGACTGAAGAAAAACTGTACGCTGGCGGCACGCAACCGCATGCTGCCGCCACGCCCGCAGACTTGATCGCATCTACCACAACCGATTGAACCAAGTGCGTTCCACACAGTCTGGTGTACCATGGCGCCTTTGTGGCGCAGTACGAGGCGGGTTTCAAGCTCTCGAAGATGCTGCGTGTGCGCTTGCCACTGCCACCATCGGCGTGCTAGCTGCACTTGCGCCCACGATGCCATGCGCGCGGCAGCGACGGACAAGAGACGGTGCCGATAGCTAGACACGCGCTGCGACCCCTCGGTGCGCGCCAAACGCAAGGCTGCCTTCCACGTCAGCAGCGCGCGGATGAGGATGCGGGTGTTTGTGCTGGCGACTGAACGGCGCAGACGCTGGTGCGCCGCCTCGTTGCAACGTCTCTGTTGTTTCCACGCGTACCACGTGCGAAGCTGCGTGCAGAATGAGGCCGATACCGCAATGACGCGGTGGCGGCTCTGTTGTACGTGCTGCTCCATTTCGACCAGGGCACGCTTCATCACAGTCGTCGTGCGCCAGTGGTAAAACGTCCGAAGAAAGACGCGCTGGTTGATGTTTGCAACAACAGTACGCCAGTGAAGCCAAGCACGGAGCTGTCGCCGTCGCGGCTGTCGAGACGCCCAGCGCAGTAGCAGCGTGCAGCCGTTCATATACGCAGGGTCCACTGGCGGCGCAGGGTAGGGGGACTGCCACTGCACAAGGCCCGTCCATCCATTTTCATAGTAGTTTCGACCGGTCGCAAGGTCGCAGCGCACTTTCCAGACGTGAGGCAAGGACCCTTGCCAGTGCCGCCATGCGCGTCGCATTTGCCATCGGTTCATACCAAGAAGAACGCGGCGGGCGGTTGCACGGTACAGCGGCACGACAAAGCGACTTCGGACGCGCCAATGCAAAAGCACGTGGCGTTGGACGCTCCGCCGTCGCCGCGCGACGATCCGATGCAAGCAAGTGCGGTAGCGTGTCTCGTTGTTCCACTGATGCCACGCAAACTGCGTCATTTGTCTGGCTCTGGCTCGGAGCACGGCACTCAGTCCGGCTATCGCCCGGGCGCGTGTGGTCTTGAAGAGGCTTTGCCGAAGCCGCATTGACGTCCACTGCTGCCACGCATTTGTCAGACGTAGTCGCCGGTTGGCACTCAACTGATTGTGCAAAGACGCTAAAGTGGCGCGATGCCACGCGTCGCTGTGACGGCGCCACGTCATGAAACCGAATTGCACTTTCCGATACGTGGCACGACGGGCGACAAGTGTGTGCCAGAGCGCCAAAGCAGCAATGCGGTGTGCGACGCCGACCAAGTGCTCGCGCTGTGCGCACGCAAACACCCTCCACGTCCGGAAGCCTTGCGCTTGGCGATACTTGGTCCATATTCCGCTGTAGCGGCGCAATCGCAGAACTCGCACTTTTGCTCGAAGTTGTGTGAGCTCGTTTGCTAGCACAGTATTGCGCCAGTGACGAAATCTCATCGTTCGCATTTGTTTGACACGAATGAGCAAGCAATGGCGCAGTTGCTGCGCTCGATGCAGAACCGATATGGCGTCGAGCTGTCGCTGCTTCTGGCCAATGTCGACGGCACTTGTCCAACGCGTCCACACGGATCGACGCAGTGCAAGCGATCGACGGTCCTCGATGGCGTCGAGATGGCGCTGCTGGTAAAGACGCCGCCGCCAACACGTCCATGCCATCTGCACAAACCGTCGTCGATGTGTCCGTAGGCATCGAGCGAGTGCACGCGTCGCCCACTGCGGCTGGTGCAGCCGCCATACGCTCCATCGGCGGCGGACCACTCTCTCTTGCCGTCTTGCTAACCATCGCGAAAGATGTTGAAGCGCAGTGCGTTGCCTTGACGATCGCCAGGCGCGGACCACCCGCGACGACTGCGACGCGTGGGCCAAGCACCAGAGTTGGAACGCCGCGCTCAATTGAGGTCGAACGCTTTGGTCGTAGGCTCGCGCGAAGATCGATCGCAGCTTCTCGCTGCGTGTCTACTCGACAGATTACAAACGATCGCATACACAAAAGGTACGTGGCGTTTTTGATACTTCATCGCGTTTGTATCGTTGCGCCACTTGCAGAAGGCTTGGGTCGTCTCCTGGCGCCGCGCTCGCTTGATGTGCGCGCCTACGCTCGACAAGGCGAGCTGCCATTGCAGACGCTGCATTCGCATTTGGCTTTGTTTTCGCAGAGCGAGGCGCCAGTGGTGAAATGCAATCTTGTAGAGGCGACGGGTGTCGACGTCGTGTGCGCGTCGACGTTGTTCGCGGCGAGCTTCTTTCTTTCGCAGAATGTCCAGCCATGTGCGCCATACGTGTTCTTGCGCGTGCGTCTGTCGTGCGTGGTGCCACGCGAGGATGTCGGTGCACTGACGGGCGCGCAAATGCCAAAGCCGCAGCCCAAGACGCTGTTTCGACGCTCGCAGCGCAGAGTCCGCACACTGAAGGCGGTGCTGGCAATACGCCTTGTCGAGCCAGAAGCGGTATAGAATGTGACAAGCCGCGTGGCGTCGGCGGCGGTGGGTTGTATGAACGATCGAGGCCAAGAGCACATGGCGTCGCACAGCGTCTTGCCACCGCCTCCAGCCGCAGCGCAGATATCGTATGCGCCTACATCAAGCGGAATTCACGGTTTGAGGCATAGTCGTTGGGGTCATACCGATGCATCAGGTCAAAGGCGAGGCGGGCCGCACGGCGACAGACAAGTTGAGCGCGATGGTGCAGGGCCATTTGGTGCCACAGATGAAAGCTCTCAGCCTTCCACGCCCGGTGCATTCGGTGTCCCAGACATGTGAGAACGCGCCAAAGGTGCCGCTGCTCGGCATGAGCCGCTCTCCATCGCGTCCAGAGACGCCGCAGACGACGGTATTCCATTCGCCGAAGCGCCGCCAACCGCCGTATTCGACTGCGTTGTCGAGCTTGCTCGTGTGCCACGACCTTCTTCCATGCTGATAGAGCCGACAACAACCGGCCATGGGTGTACTGTCGCCGCGTAAACAGCCGTCGCAGCATATTCGATCGAGAGACGTCGAGCTGCGTTGTCCGATGCCAGTGTTGGAAGGCCTACACTGCGCGTAAGTGCCGCATCGAGGTAGTTGCGATCTGAACCTCTCGCTCGTCGGCAAGGCGAGCATCTCGCGCGTGGCGGGTCGCCAGTCGCCCGATGAGCCGAGCAGCCACGTGGTGACCCCACTCCTTTCGTTCGCGAACGACCCACGAGTCATCGTGCGCGAGCTCTCTTGGTGCTTCATCGATCGAGTGCAGACAGGGCAGTGTCGGGCACGACTCGAACGCATCGACGTCGTCTTGGTTGGTCGAAAGATGTGATGCGACCTCGTAGTTGGCGGAGAGCGCAAGTCGCCGAGAGGCAAACGTTGCCGCGCGGGCATGTGCGCTCTTGGGCGCCGATGTCAGCAAGAAAATGGCTTCATGCAAGAGTCGTCGCAGCGCCTCCTGCTGCGTCTCCTCGGGAAACTTGCGCCACGCTAAGAGCACGAGAGCTTCGACGAAACTGAGCACGTCCAAATGCGATCGCAGCGGCCCGCTGGCTACACAGATAGAATCACTTTAAAGAATGACTGCGGCGTAGTACCTTGGGCGTAGACGAGATCGACGTCGACGGTCGTGAACCACGGCGTGAGGAGGTTTGGAGCATCGTGCGCCATTCGGCGGAAGCCCGCGTTGGTCATGCGGCCGCCAGGCGCGTTCGCATACGCATAAAAGACGTCCCGGAGAATCGCGTCGTTGTCGTCGTTGTCGGGCATTGTCATTTTGGGCGTCTTGGACTTTGGTGGAACAACCTGACGGTAGCGGTCATTTGTTCCAAGCGGCAGACAAAACATCGGATTTTTGAAACATCAGATTTTGCCAACTGGAGGAATTTGAAACGGCGAGATTGATCGATGCCCGTGCTCATCCTCACCGACTACCTCGCACCGATCCCGTCGGGCTTGCACCTACGGCTCGACGGCGTCACGCTCGATGACAAAGCCTTTGACCGGCTCGTCTTGCTCCTCAAGGCCACGCCGCGCATCCGCCGGCTCTCAATGCGCAACCTTGGTATGCCCTACGACAACGACAGCAAGAGACAGTAAGAGCTGGTTTGTCCTAGGTCTCGGGCCCAAGCTCGCCGTGTTTGTCGCCGACGTTTTGGCCACGAATTGCACGCTCACAGCTGTCGACTTGAGCGGCAATGCCATAGGATCGCACGGCGCCAAGTGTCTTGCGACCGTGCTCCTCGAGCACAACAGTACGCTGCAAGAGCTCTCGCTTGCATGCTGCGGCCTTCACAGCGACGCATTCGCCAACTGGATCGAGTTCTTCGAGCGCGCTTCGCCCAACACGACGTTTCATACGCTCAAGTACCGCCAAATGGGAAAGTTTTCCAGCTGATGTTTGTTGTAGCGTCGCCCACAACGCGATTGGTGACGACGGCGCGCTGGCACTGGCCAAGGCGCTCGAGCTCGAGCGACTCATGCCGCTTCGTGGGTGGCGCCTCGACCTGCGGCGCAACGGCATCACCGACGTTGGGGTGACGGCGCTGGCGTCACTCTTGGCAACAACGCACGCCGTCGTGCAGATGGATGTCGCCAACGCCCGTTCGTTCGAGGTGCGAGAGCCCGAGCGTGTCGTCTTTCTAGAGCACCGGTGTCGACGCAACACGGCCGAGATGCACGCCCGAGGTATTGGCATCCGTGTTCTCATACCACGGCCACATTGATCATAGTTGTCGACTCGGCGGCGCGGACGATTCTGGCATCGACCCGCCGCGCCGAAACCATGGTACTCGAGAACGTTCCCGTGCTGGTGGCGCAAGCTGTCGCGTTGGCCCATGCGCTCAAGCACACGCTGGCGACGACGACGCTGACGCTTCGCAACAACTCGCTGTGTTTGGCTGCGATCCAGCACTTTGCGTGTGGACTTGCTTTCAACCAAACGCTGTATCGGCTCACGCTCCGGGACAATGGCGTCTCGGGCGACGCTTTCGTCGCGCTGCTGGACGCATTGGCGCAAAACGCGGCGTCCCCGCTCCGCGAGCTCGAGATTTCCCATTCGACGTCGCTGCGTGTGCCTCTCTGGCCTCGGCGCGTCAACGGACACTTATACCGCTTCTTTACGCAGGCGAGCCAGCTCACGCACCTCACACTCGACCACTGCGGGCTCTCGGACGTCGACGTGGGCGGGATTGTCGCTGGCCTTGCGTGGAACGGGCTTCTTCAAGTCGCCCACTTTGGGCGCAACTGCATCACCGACGCTGGCGTCAGCATCTTTCATGTGTTGCTGCACCGCTGCGCCCATCTTACATCGCTCGATATTGTACATTGTTGAAGTTTAGAAAAAAAGATGAACGATTTTTGGTGTAGAGCGGCAACCTTTGCACCCTCGACGGCATCGTCAGTGTCGTCGCCGGCGCGAGCGATCATTTGCGCCTCCGGAGTCTCTGCGTCGGGCGCTTCCCAGCGTTTTCTCCGACCTTGTTTACAATTGCTAGCCACATTGGGCGCAGCAACTCGCTCGTGCGCGTCGAGATTGCTGCCGCCAGCGACCACTCGCGCTGGGCGTCGGCCAAGGCCGCGATCCAAGCAACGTTGCAACTCAACCGCAAGAAGAACCCTATAACGCCACCGACGACGTTTGCAGCCTGGACCCGCCACTGCCGCGCCAACTACATGGCCCGTGACGTGGCCACCAGCACGGCCTCGCGGCTCGTGCGACCGCACCAGCACATCATCGCAATGCGCCTGCTGCACGTAGAAGACGTCAACGTGACGATCTTTGTCGCGTGTCGTGAGATGGCGGCAGAAGATATCGACGCGCGGCTCCGATTCGAGTGGGCAGGAATGGTTGCCAACGACGTGGATGCTGCGCTCCTCCTCGAACGCCGCTATATGCGGTCCGAAGACGTTGACGCAGTGCTCGACGCCGTGTAACCAAACGTCCGAGCTGTAATCACTCGTCAAGTTTTATCAAACGCACTAGAGAGTTGTGGTCGACGTCGACCGGTGGCGCGGGGACGTTGGCTGGTAGTACAGCTGGTACGTGTCGTCGTCAGACACAATGTCGAGTTCGGGCACGTCGAGGTTCGTGCCAAAGTGGTGGCGCGGGATCCAGTAAAATACATACAGTGTAACCCACTCGGGGTACACAAAGCTGCCGATCGAGATGCAGAGGCGAATAAACTGTTCGATCGCGCCGTCGTCGTCGTCGTAAAAGAGTTTGGTGCAATTAGTGTCGCCTACGTCCGGACGTTGAGTGAGGCATGAGCGCATGCGAGTTTAGAAGCCGACCGACGACGATATAGGCTATGTACAAGTCGTACGACAGTTGCAAGAGCGAGCTAATCATGTTGGCCTACGCGACGCATCAATAGAATTATGGTGTTGACAGTCACCAACAAGAAGCAGGAGCCAGAGCTGCTTGTACGACTGCTCGAGCTCGTTGGGCGAGATGCCAAGCAGGCCTTTGATCGCGTTGCGCTACCCAAACCATGCGTCGACGTCAATGGCCGTGCGATGACGCGTACCTGAACCGACTTAGCGGCCTTCATCTCTCGTAGGACGACCGAGCCCGACATGGCAAAGCTCACTACCACCGGTGAGCCGTATGGGTTGGACGAGCACGCTACCGGCGAGCGTTGCGGACGCGAGGGACATGACGAGCCATGACGAGTGGTGGCAGTCGACGATCGGGTCATCGAGCATAATGACAACGTCGGCAGTCATGAGGATCGCGACGCCGAGCAGCACGGGCGCGAGGAGCCCGTAGAGGCAGACACGCTTGCCCGTGATCTCGCACGCCAAGGCGCCGTAGAGCCAGCACGAGATCGCCACCTGCATGCCACGGCAGTACTTGGCGCCAAGCATGAGCTTGGGTGCGTCCAGCCATAAACAGCGCACGAGCACGAGAAACATCTCAATGCCGGCGAGCGCGACCATGAGCACATTGGGCCGCAAATGCGGCGAGCCGATGCTACCGGGCAGCATGATATAGACAAGGTAGACGCACGCCACGGTCGTCCAGAGCGACATGGTGCCGACCGTGAGGCCGCGGAGACAGAGCCACACGTCCGGTGCTTCGCTCGAGCAGTAGGGCAGCATCGCTGGAATCTTGGGCAGATCTTGGGCGGCCTTTGGTCGAGAGACTAAAAACACGCATTTCCATGGAAAGTGCAATTTGGACCGCAACATCCGTTTTGTATTTTTCATTATTTGCGCACAAACGCGTCCATGGGACCGCCCTTGCGCGGCTTCTTTGCCGTCGGCGCACGGTACGACTGCTGGAGGTCCATCGCGACGTGGTAGTCTTCGTGCTCGTGCCACGGCGTCGTAACGACCGCGTGGCACCGGTCGCAGAACCGGCCGTCGGACGATGGTGCACTCTTTGGGGCTTCAAAAAAGCGCGCGATCGTCGGCGGTGGTTGCTTGGCAGCGACGGGCGCCGGTGTATACAGCGCTTTGGACGCCGACGCCGAAAAGAAGCTCTTGATCGATGCCGGCGCCTTGGTCGGCTTGGCGACGACGGACGCTAGTGCCTCCTTCTGCGAATATGCCTGCGAATATGCGGCCGCTGGCTCCGCCGCCGCAACGGGCGCCGTCTTGAAAAAGTGAGTGATCGTCGCGCTCTTCTCGACGAGCGGGATAAAGTCGCGCGCGACGACCGCCAAATGCATACACGGCACGATCGAGGTGTGCTCGAGCAAGGGGAACATGGCCTGTGTCATGGAGGCCACGTCAATCTTGGGGGGCGCTGGAAACTTTTTTTGCATCGGCTTGTCGTTTAGGCGCTGATAACTTAGAGCAAACTGCGTCGGTGTGCGGTGGTTCTCGACGACTTCTTCCTCGTCATGCCGCAACACGACCTCTTCGCAGAGGATCGTGATCCAGTACTTGACACGGTCCAAGGACTGGACTGGCCCGACTTGATTGAAGCTCTTCATCGCAGAGACGTGCTGCGCCACGATCTTCTTGTCGTTGACGGGCTCGTCTCCGTCGCTGCCCGAGCACACGTTGAAGACAAACGTGCCCGTGTCGTGGCCAAGCTCGCGCTGCAAGCCGTCCAAGCCATACGCATTGAGGAGATCGCCGGCGACAATCCGGTCGGCGTCCGGCGCGATCTACACGACCTCCTACCGTGACGATGCATGGACTAGAAACACACAAACTACCTTTTTGCCGAGGTCGACGACGCGCTGCCCGAGCTTGCCGCCGAGCCCGCGGATCTTGGCGACAGGAAAGGTCTGCATAAAGTGTGCAATCGACCGGTCCGGAATGACCTAAGTACAGAGTGGTGGCGAAGGTTTTGTCGACTCGATGACATACGGTTTGGCCGCTGGGCTTGTTCATCGGCGATGCCTAGTGGATACCATTAGCGCCTCGAGCAGGGGACAACGGGAACCCGCACGAGCTTGGCGAGGAGCTTGTTGGACGCGACGCCGACCGAGCACGTGTAGCGCAGCGTTGTGAGCACTTCGCGGCGGATCTCTTGGGCTATTGTCGCGCCAATACACAGCAGCTCCTCGTCCTCTGTGAGCGGGAAGACACTGCCGTCGACGCCGATGACCTGGACGTCAGCGTTGCGTGGGTCGTCGCAGTACGCGACCTCTGGCTTCTACGTCACCAAAGCCACGCTATTCGATACAAACAGCGCGTGGCAACGACGTACGTTTGCTTGAAAGGCGGCGAGTCGCGCAGTTGCCTGGTCCGTCACGTCCAGGAAAGCTTCGTCGATGCTCGCCCGCTCGTACACGGGCGCGTGCTTGGCGAGGATGTGAAAGATCTCGCGGCTCGCCAAGCGGTAGCGCCGCAGAACGGCCTTTTGGCGCGACCGGTCAAAGTGCGGGTTCTTGGTCAAGTCGGCGCCCGGCGGCGGCACGGACCCTTCGCCGATCGTTTCAACGTGCGGCTGGTGGCCACATGAGCCAGTGCTACCGCTGCGTCATAGCAAGCACGTACCAAGTGGATCTGTGGACACTTCTTGCGCGCATCGACAATGTAGTCGCCTAGAGCGCCGAATACATGAGCTGCAATGTGGTGGCACGTACTGCGCGAGACGCCAAAGGGCCGGGCGGCGTAGTTGACAGCGAGCAAGCTGCCCCACTGCTGGACCGCGACGGGCTCGCCATCTGGGATACCGAGCCGGACGGCCTCGACCTGCGCGTAGAAGCAGTCGAGGTCGAGGTGCAAGATGACCCGCATGCGCGCTTGGCCGGTACGAAATGCGGCATCTTTATCCGGCGCGCCGGATACGAACGGCCAACAAGCAGTGTTTTTTGGAGGGAAGCGTGCACTGGCGTTGTCTCGCGCGTTGACGTGCGTCGATCTTAGTAGGGCAAGCCACTGCTTCTACTGCTGGCGAGGATGGGCAGATCAGGCGCGGAATTGCAGCCGGCGCCATCATGGACAATGTCAATGGAGATGCGTTGGTCGTTGCCCAGCCCTCTTGATGACATCAGCCGACGTACCACGTGTACATGCAGCAGGTCCTATGCACAGCGAGCCATGGTATGTATTGGGTCGTAGGCTTCCTCACCCAACTCCAAGCCGAACACAGACGGCAATCGATTAGCGTGAAGATGATGGTAGCTGCATGCTGCGCCTAGTACTGGCTGCAGCTGACGGCAAGGTGCGGCTGTCGCGATCGTCCTTCGGACATGCGCCTAGACACGGCGCCAGTCGTGTCAAATAATACATACGGGATGCGTGCCGATCCTCGTTCGTCAGTTGCCTCGTGTGGCTACTGGAACACATCTGCATGCCTTTGTGGTGCAACCGCTCATGCAATGTCGGAGCAGAACCCGCGCTGTCTTTGGCGCTTGGAGCGGCTTAGACGAGGCGGTCCAGAGGCAGCGCGAAAGGCTCGATCGCCATCACGATGCTTTAATTTGTAATGGCTCGAAGGAATCAGAATACGAATGCATGCTTCCTGGTCATGCTCGGCAGCGAAAGAGCAAAGTCACTGCGAGTCGGAAATATCGGTTCGTACATACCGAAGAGCCGCACAGCACATCCCGCCCCGCAAGCCTGTGACGGTCGACGTCTCTGTCAAAAACAGGCTACCCCGTTGCAGCACCCCATAGACACGATCGCCATACAGGCGCGTGGTGGATCTTGGTCGAAGATATGGGGCTCTTGACGTATGCAGCAGACAAAACCACCCGTGCTGCGAGTGTCTTGGTCGCGACCAACCGCATTCCGCTCTCGTACCAGTAGGCGATGTACTGGTACTATTGGGTCGACAGCATTTGGGGAGCGTGCCTCGCACCTTCCGCGAGGGTGGGATCGACCCCCGAATTCATGCAAGCACCGCATCGCTAATGGAGTTACGAGCTCACGAACGCGGCTCATGAGCGTACTCTTGGTCAAGCGCTATTGAGCACGAATCTGGGAATGGTTGAAGCCACTGTGCAAGCTGGGAATGCGGAAGCGTGGGACTCGGCAACATGCGCTTGCTCCAAAAGCACATGTTGCAGTAGCGTTCGCCTCTCGACCGCTCTTTGGGCCTTTGCAGCAAGCAGCGCCAGCCAGGTCCTTCGTTACATTCGAGAGACGGCGCGTTGGGAGTGCAACAAGATCAGTCCTCGCGCCCGCGTCGACTCGGATGGCCGTGGCACTTGCTACGGTTCGTCGATGGCTCGAGTACGTAGTCCTTCGCACACGCTTCGTGACGCCAATCATGCCAAGAGTATCTCCGATCTCTCGACGCAAGAATGATTATTGTACGGTGCCGGACGACGTCCTTTCTTTCGAGCTGCCATTTACCCAACACATCTTGCACCGAACAAGACCAAGGCCACGCCGTCGTGTCCTATATAGAGTCCCGCAGGGGGCGTCGTCGGCAGCGTGGTCGCGCCGATGATTTTTGCTCGTTGGGTTTGGGTCCAATACTGCCAACCGTGCGGGAATGATGGGTCCTTTCTTTGGGCCGAGATTCCGTGCACGTCCCACGCTTCCTTGATGAAGACTCAAAGGGTGGGATCGCCTGCGATAAACTGGTTGGGTGTAATGCACCTTTGGATCATGTGCCGACGTGGGATGCGCGTGCACCCATGCGCCTGGTCTTGCGTCGACGACCTCATTCGGCATTTGGCGGCCTCGCGCACACACCTCCCACCACTACCTCCAACATGCAGCACCAATGTGTCTTCAACGACTGCACCGCGATGGCGCTTCCGGACGCCAACAAGTGCGACTTTCACAAGAACCGCAAAATGTGCGTCGTCGCGCACTGCAGCAACCAAGTGTACGCACGCGGTCGCTGCGTCCGGCACGGCGGCAAGAAGAAGTGCCAAGTCCCGACCTGCGAGTCGTATGCGCGCGGCGGCGACTTTTGCTCCGAGCACGGCGGCGCATCACCCAAGCGCTACTGCTCGGTCGCGGGCTGCCAAAAGCAAGCGCACGCCCGTAAAAAGTGCGTGCGCCACGGCGGCGGCCGCCTCTGCAAGCTGCCCGGCTGCCACCAGCACGCTCGCCTCGCGGGCTTTTGCCACCGCCACAACGAGTCCATGATGCCGGCGTCGTCTTCTTCCACCGACAACGACGACGAGATGCTTGAAGCGCCGCTCTCAGTGGCCGAAATGGACGAGATCCTCGCGTCCGACCCGACGATGCTGTCGTTCTTGAACGAGTGGATGGCTGGGTCGTCGATCGAGCTCGCCCATCGTGTCAAGATGGAGATCGAGCCGACGCAGATCAAGCTCGAGCCGGAAGCACCCACGAGCCCAATGGAAGTCGAAATGTTCGACTGGCAGCTCGACGCCAACCTGTGGCAGGGCCTCGAGACCATGTTTTCCTAAGTGCTGTCGCCGCTTCATATTATTTAATGCCGTTTTCGCTGTCTCCACTATAATACCACTTGTACGTTTTTTGTTCACTCTGGCATTGACCACAAATTTCGTTCCCTGCAACACAAAGGGTGCACAATTTTTGACATCCAAACAGAATATATTGCACCCCTTTGGCAACGTTATCGCCTCGTATAACGCAACCATGCAGTATACACCGATGTGTACTTGTCCATTTTGCAGCTGGAACAGGAGGGTACGGTACAGTAAACGGCAAGGCGCCGCGGACTTCGCTGGAATATATCGGTAAAAGGAGTACCGCAGAGAACAAGTCAACCAGAAGCGCCACCAGACAAGGTGGTAACGCGAACCAGCAGCTTCACCAGCGCTTGTGCATGCGTCAGTTGTTTCTTGCATCGTCTGCGTTGATGGACACGCTTGACACGGAATATGCTTGGCACTCGCTCTTTGAGAAGAAGGAAAGCGCGATCGCTTCCATCCGTTTCTGAGCACCACCCACGCATCAAGCAATTTGTCAAGGTGTTACCAACCGGAACCCGTGACAATAATCTGCTACGCTTCTAGTCATCAGATTTGTGATCGTCGACACGGTGCGTGGCGCACACTGGTTGGTGCGAACCAAGCCGGGTCTACGTAAACGGACCTTCAACGTCCCCAAGGAGCCAAGGATCTGGTCGTGAGCACACACAGCTGGTGGCTGGCGAGGCCACCAGTCGAGATGTATTCGGTTGCGTGCCGTGATGCCGTCATGCCGCGTATATTCCAGCGAAATTTGGTGTATATTCCAACACGGACCGAACGCAAATGAATCGGAGAACCCTCCTTCTTCAAGATCTTTTGATATGACGCGCTAAGTTCTCATCTCGTTCGTTTTACCAAGTACATGGGCTTGCTACAGCTTCGCTGCGGCCAAGGCGCGGTGTAAGCACCATCGCTTGCTTCGTGCGAAGCGCGGCGGGACTGGAATACATGTCCAAATTTCGCAAATCACATCTCCGCGGTGGGGTCGTGAAACCGGTCAGTTTTGCGGTATCAGATGCAAGCTGACTGAGCCATGTGCGATTGAAGTCTGGGACGATGGGTTTGCGCGCCTATGGTATTCCTAGTCCCAACACTAAAACACCAGTTTGGCGCAGATGCATGCCATGTCGCGCCAAAACGTTTGGTATCTTTGTTTGAACCAATCAAACGTCGAGAGAGGTGACACCTCGCACAACGCAGCCCCGATGACATGGCGTGCGGTGCCGCGTCTTTGTCCCAACTCACCATGTGAAAATCCTAATCAGCCAATTAGATCGATGTACTAGTCAAAAAGGCCAATGATTGGTAGAAAGTTGCAGTCTGACATCTATGTCGCCCATCCCAGTCATCGAATGGTGTCATCGTTCATGTCCATGATGATAACTACCCCTACAACAGACTTTGCTGTGTATAGAGCCGTGTGTATTACAGTACATCCGATTGCAAGGAGACAGTTCTCTTACGAGCATACCAGCCTGGGGTCGCCATGACTCACAGCACGCGCCGATCACCCCATTTCTCAATTTGCCTCGACTCGATCCATCGATCTTGTACGGCCATGCACTCGCCGTCTTGCGTCGTCAGTGGTTGTCAAGCGCCAGCGCTCTTTGGCCTTAACAAGTGCACGATGCACAAGAATCGCAAGATCTGCTCCGTCCACGACTGCTGCAACATTGTCTACGCGCGCCAGCTCTGCGTCCGCCACGGCGGCAAGAAGCAGTGCAGCGAACCAACCTGCTCGGCTTACGCGCGAGGTGGCGACTATTGCGGCGACCACGGCGGCCTCTCGCTCAAGCGCTTTTGCATCGTCGAAGACTGCTTGCGCCAAGCCCACGCCAACCGCAAGTGTGTGCGGCACGGCGGTGGCCGGTTCTGCAAAGCCCCCGGGTGCCCCCAGCACTCGCGCCACGGCGGCTTTTGCCACCGCCACATGGTGCTGGAAACGCGCGTCCAGGCCAAGCGCGCACAGCCCGTGAGCTACATCAAGATCGAGCCCATGACCAGTGTCCCGTTTCTTCCCGAGCCCCAAAAGTACGAGCTCGACGCGATCGACTCATCGATTCTGTCGCTTCTGGACGACGAGTCGTGGGTGCACAGCGGCCCTTGCAGCCCCGACACGGTTGTAGCCTTCGACTGGCATCTCCATGCGTCGTCGTGACGGCTAAACTACGACGATCAATAGTATTTATCCATGGATTCGCAACGATTTCATCGGTCGCGATACGACCCAAAATGAATTCATCGATTTGAAGAAGAATTTATCGCTTTGATGCTACACTACTCGTACACATTGGTGCTAGTATGTTGGAGATTGTCCTTTTGTGTATTTCTCAAGGTTGAATTCGCACCATGGCACGACTGCAGCAACTCCATAATTTCTGTAGTTGCGCGGAGCGTCGCACACGTGCATGGAAAGGCCCGTGACGACGCCAAGCCAGCAACAAGAGACTCACATGATAAGCATCCAAGCACTAGAAAGCCAGTGTCCGCGACAGCAGTGCGCTGCTCTAGCCAAGGCAGCCAGTTGCTGAAGGCAGAGCTAGTTGGCGCCGTCATCCTGGAGGCATACGGATGAAGTTGCCTTGCACCGTGACGCCAAATAGGTGGTCGGTCCTCTTACCGCCTTGATCCGTCCAACCACGTGCTTGTCGCGCAAGAAAATAGTTAGTCATACGTGTGTCCTTGTGTTTAAGAGTAGGGTGTTACCGTGCACAGAGAACCCGTCGTCGGATATGTAGCTTGTACCGGTACCATCGCGCCATGGGACAACTCAAGGCAGCAACCAGCTCCGAGACTGCGTCCTGGTTATCTTCCTACCGGGTCGCCGGCAGCGCAAGCCGACGGCGCCGAAGCAGCGTCCTCGCCGGCCTGTCGACCGCGCACGCCGCCGGTGCCACCCGTGGCGCATCAACAAGGCCGCAAAGTGGCCGTCGCCACCGTACGTACGACCTGGAGACGACGGCTGGTCATGTCGCGACGACGATTGCACTGGCCTGTACGGTACTGCAGTTTTGTGGCCGCGATGGTGTGCCAGTAATGAGTATCCGGACGTATCCGGTTGGCTGTTACAGGGTATGCGGACTATCCGGTTAAAGTCACGTCAGCGGCAACACCTTGCCACGTCTGCGATGGGCTTTAACCCACGGTCGCTCTTCCAGTGGCTGCTCGTGCTCTCGGCCGCATGCTTCTTCCTCAACCTCCTCCTCCTCTCGGGCTCGACCAACCTGGTTCAGCGTAGCCCGCTCACGCACCTGCGCCACACGGTCGACCGCGTCCCGATTCGCACCGAGGCGCACACCGCTGCCACCAACGATCGCCGGCAGTTGCACGAGAAGCGGCGCGACCAGGTCGTCGACATGATGCGCTGGGCGTGGAAAGGCTACGAGACGCATGCGTTTGGCTACGACGCCCTCGACGTCAAGCGCATGACGGGCACCGGCCTGCCAGGCCACGACATGGCCATTTCGCTTGTGGACTCGCTCGACACGCTCTACATCATGGGCCTCGACGCCGAGTTTCAGCGCGCGGCCGAGTGGGCGGAGGCCAACATGGCCGAACGCTTCGAGCAGCATACGCCCATCAGCATCTTTGAGACGACGATCCGCATCTTGGGGTACGCGCAATGGCAGTAATTGCGACCATGAACGCTGTTGATGTGTAGTGGCCTCTTGTCGGCGTACAACCTTTCGGGGCGCGAAGCGCTTCTGAAGCTCGCCGACGACCTCGGCACGCGCCTCCTCCGCGGGCTCCAGACGGACACGCTCCCGCTCTCGCTTGTCGACTTGATCGTACGCGCAGCCTCGACTCATGCCCTTCCAACGCGTTGTCCTGGGTTAGAGCGGTCAGACGTCAGGTCGCAGCTTCATTGCTGAATTTACGACGATCCAGCTCGAGTTCAAGTACCTAAGTCTTCTCACAAAAGACCCGACGTACCACGATGCGGCCGAAGAGGTGATGGACAAGGTGCGTCCATTTTCGTTGTATTTTGTGCAAGAAGCTTTTGTAGGTCGCTGAAATGGTCGAGCGCGAGTACCCCGCGGGCATTCTTCCCGTTCAAGTCGAGAGTTATGCGACCCGGTACGACGATGCGTCGTCTTGTCTCTTGCCCCTGATGCATGCTGCGTAGCTTGATTCCTGGGCCGCTCAAGCTCGGCGCCGGCGGCGACAGCTACTACGAGTACTTGCTCAAGCAGGTTACCCTTTGCGTGCGATATCATCGATCTCATATTCTCCGACTGCAGTGGATCTTCTCGGGCAACAAGCAAGACAAGTACAAGGAGCGGTACCTCCAAGCCGTGCATGGCATGATGACCAAGCTCAAGGGCAAGACGAAGAAGTCGGGTCTCGTCTTCCTTGGCGAGCTCGGCACGGACGGCGTCCTCGTGCCCAAGATGGACCACCTCGTGTGCTTCATCCCTGGCATGCTCGCTCTCGGGTACATGAACGGGATGCCCGATGCGCACCTCGAGCTCGCCAAGGACCTCCTTGAATCGTGCTGGGAGGTACGACGCGTCATCTGCTGCTCATCGAGTCGTTGGACATTACACTGGAATGTAGATGTACAACCAAATGGGAAGCAAGCTCGCGCCAGAGATTGTGTACTTTGAGACCGACTCGGACGTCGCGGACCTCCGCGTCTCGTCCAACGACGCCTTCAACATTCTGCGCCCCGAGACCGTCGAGAGTCTCATGATTCTGTACCGTCTCACCAAAGATGAAAAGTACCGCGAGCGCGGCGCTATCATCCTCGATGCTTTCGAGCGCAACTGCAAGCTTCCGGACGGCGGCTACTCGAGCGTCTCGAACGTCGACGCGCCGATCGCGACCAAGTTTTTTCGCCCCGAGATGGAGAGCTTCTTCATGGCCGAGACGCTCAAGTACTTGTACCTCCTCTTCTCGGACGACGCGGTTGTGCCGCTCGACACGTTTGTCTTCAACACGGAAGCCCATCCGTTCCCGATTCAGCCCCACGACTAAGAACTAAGATCTGAGATCTCAGCACGCGACAATCCAAGTACACCTACCCCTTACGCTACATGACGAGCAAGTTTGTGTTGTGGGTGGTACAACGCGGGCATTGTCATGTACTTTTGCGCTAAATAATACTAGTAAATGAGTCGTAGTTCGTCACAAACCAATGATATACGTGGCAGCAGCTCGTGGCAGCGCGATTCGGGATGCCAGTTCACGGTCTGAGCGCTATTTGGGTGCGCTTTTGTGCAAAACGAGATGGAGGTGCGTCTTCGATGCATGAGGTGCGGCTTCGATACATGAGGTGCATCTTTCTAGTTGGCAATTCGGAAGCGAGCATGAAGATCACGATCAAGCGGATCCATGGCGTCGCGACGTGGTCCTGGGGCGTCGACGAAGAGTGCTGTGGCATCTGCCGCTGCGCCTTTGAGGCCTGCTGCCCCGACTGCTCGGCGCCGGGCGACGCCTGCCCGCCAGGTACGCGGCGCAGCATGCGACGGTGGCCCTCATCCGCGCCTAGTGTGGGGCAACTGCAACCATGCGTTCCACATGCACTGCCTCGTCAAGTGGCTCGAGTCGCTCCAGTCGGCGCGCCAGCACTGCCCCATGTGTCGTCAAGAGTGGAAGTTCCGCGAAGGGTAGACAAAGAGGAGCATCTTTACGAAACACGACTATTATTGCTGCTGCTGGGTGAAGCGCTCGACTTTGGCCATGCGCTGGTGGTACAGCTTCCGGCTCGGGAGGAACTCGGCGAGGAACTGACTGACGTTGATGTCGCCATTCGTGAAGCGGCTGCCAATGTCCTCGGTCACCTCGTCGACTTCGTCTGCAGCTTGGACCACCCGCGCCACGAGCACGTCCCCTCGCACGCGCTACATTCATGATCGCCACTCAGCACTTCGCGTCGATGCAAGCTTTCTTTTGTGTACCGAGAGGATCTCTTGCTGTCGCGCTTGCTTGAGGCTCAGGACTTCTTGTGCGGCCTGGACCTGCGACTTGAGGCCTTGGACGTCCTTCTGCAGCGCCGCCAGCGTTCCCTCGTAGCTCAGGTTCTTCTCTAATCGCCGCCGTCTCCATAACTGCGCCATTCACGGTACGATGTACCTGCGAGCTCGGCGTTGCCTTTGACAAGGTCGTCGTACAACTTCATAAAGTTGATGACGGCGTCCATGTTGCGGATGTACGCCTTGAGCGCTTGGCGGTCGCTCACAAGTTTTTCCAGCTGCGTAATGCTAGCCAGATACACTCAGCACGCGCACCTAGACAAAGGGCCTGCGTACGAAAGCTCGTCGAGTTCGGGGAACGACGTGGGAATCGCCGGGGTCTGCGTGTGCATGTACGGATCGCGCGCCTTGAGCGGCGGCGGCGTCTTCTCGCGCGCGTATGGCGAGCTCTGGCTCGACGCGCTCGTCGTGTTGTTGTATGGCGTCGAATACGAAGCCGCGCCCGACGACGAAGGGTAGAACGGCTGCGTGTAGGCCGGCGACGCGGGTGGGTGGTACGCCGGCGGCGGTGTCGACGTCGCGCGCCCCGCGACGACCGGCGGGTTGCGCTGGAACTCGCTCAAAATGTCGTTGACTAGACCATGCATGGGAGAGAGACGAGATATAGAGGTGACGTACCGATGCGACCCAGGTCGGCATGGACGCCCCAGCTCGCAAGGTCAATGTGGCCGACGACGCGGCATTGCGCGTCGAGCCAACTATGCTGCACGCGCGACGTCGTCTACTCGCATGCAGTACGCCCGTCAGCCACGTGGTATGATGGCGAATGCGTACTTGGATCAATGGGGCTTGCATAGGAAACTCGTCGGGCAGCGAACTAGACATAGCGAGCTCAGCCCAATGACGTCCAGTCGACGATGTACATTCGAAGTGTGAGCGAGCGCGCGTCGGCGAGGCGCACGACGACGTCAAAGATCGATTGCTCGTGGTTGATGGCTTGGCCCCCGGCGCGGACAAGGCTCGCGATCTGACGGCCTCGCCTACGTCGCCCAGCCCATGAGCGTTGGCGCGACCTAGGCCGCAGCGCACGTACAGTCGCATGAGCTCCGAGGAAGCGCCCGTACTATGGACGGGCGGCGCGGGCTTGGGCGGGGCTTTGCCGAAGAAGAAGGACATGGCTACCGGTCGACTGCGACTGCCGCAGCTCAGGTTTCCGAAATGGACTCTGAGGATGGCAAAAATATTTTAATATTTCCAATGTTTGTCCTCGCATCGGATTGGCTAAAATTCGGCTCGCGAAGCGACCTGCATTCTTGCCAAACAGTGTATTCACTGCGCCAGCATTTCGCAAGCGACGCACTCTCGTTAGACGGCGAACGCAGAGGAGACAGCAGACCGCCGAACGCGAAGAGCTCGGCCAAGAGACCTCACTCTATTTGGTAGTCGTTGTGTGGGACGAAGACACCCCGTCTAATCTAGAAGCAGCATATCTTTGGTGCCATCCGCTTGGCTCTACAAAGCCCGTAGGCGCCGTCGTGGTTATTAATCGTAGTCGCACTCATGTAGGTGATTCAGTATCTCGTATGTCCATGTACCTTCGTGCTCTAATCAACTACCGGAGCGCTACCCGATCCAGCGGCATCCGGATATGAAGAGTGACGTCCTTGGCGATCTTCGATATTTGAAAGGCCAACATGGCATGGTGGAGCGTCATTGCGTGCAGCCTGCTCGTGCTCGTGTCACCAACGTCCTCCGTCGTCTTCTTTGGCAATGCAAATATGTCCGTGACCAAAACGCTCGCCAGCGCCTTGGAGCTCTTGCAGGCCGGCGCGCGTGGCGAGGCACACGAGAGGTTGCTTGCGCTCGCGCGAATTGCGCCCCAGAACGCGGATGTTCACACAGCATTAGGCGCACTCGCGCAAATGGATGTACGTACGACATCTCGCACCGACTTGCCAACATGTCTTTAGGGTTACGCAGACCGTGCGATCGCTAGCTATACGACGGCCGCGTCGCTGTGCGGTCCCACGGAGGCGCTGCATGGCAACCTTGGTCTTGCCCACTATGCAAGACAAGACTACAGGGCTTCCGTGGAGCACTTGCGAGCAGCTATTGCGCTCAACCCGACGCGCCTGCCCCACCACGCCCACATGCTCGGGTTGGCCCTACATTTTCTGCGCGATGACGCCGCGGCCAAGGTCGTGTACGTCGCCGCTGTTGCCCACGCGCCGCACGATGCGGCAGTGCACTTTGACTACGGCGTGACGCTCCAAGCCCTTGGCGATGTGGGTATTTTGTGAAATCAGCGCTGAGTGACTTGGTGTATATAGGTTGAGCAAGCTGGGGATGCCTACAACCGCGCCATCGCGCTCAATCCTGCAATGGGCTCGGTACGAGTGCTCGTCGACGTGATCGATTCGTGTATGCTGCACTAGGCGTGGCTCAATATGGCTTCGTTGCACTTGCAGTATGGGGAAGTAAGCAAAGCCCTTTATGGGTTTGAGGTGCGTGCCATTTGGCCGCTGGTCTACACTGGGATCCAGCAACACGTAGAAAACACTGGGTCTTTCCCTTTCCATTGACCTGTGGCTGTGTGCAACGACCAATTATGCCGTAGCTCTGGAGCTGGACGGTCAAGTACGTCATCCAGCGATACAATGTGATGTGATGGACTGCCGATGTAGCCTCTTGCAGCGACCAAGTTTCTAAAGCGAGCCCACGCAGTGCTGCAGCTTCAGGGAGCGACAACATCGACGCTCTACTTGAACGTGTGCGAGCACCAAATCCGAACCTGGCGCGCCATTGCGTTCTGGAAAGACTACGAACTGGTTTGGACGCGTTTTTTGGAAATGACGTGGCAGCACGAGATTCAAGTGTAACCGTCCATGTATCATCATCGCACGGCCCCATACGAACGTAGCGGGGGCGTGAGCTCGATGATGCCGTTCACGTCGCTCTTACTTCCGCTGGCGCCCGAGACGAAGCGCAAGATTGCCGAATCGATCACACGACCGCATGGTCCTACTGAGAAACGACTTTGGCGCCCCGTGTCATTGGCCGGTGCCCGGCGCTTGCACGTCGGGTACCTCTCGTACGATTTCAACAACCACCCGACGGCCCATTTGATGGAAGGCCTCTTTCGGTGCCATAATGCGTCGTCGGTTGAAGTATCCATGCTGAGCTACGGCAAAGGTTCGACGTGCTTGAACAGAACGCGGAATGATGATTCTCGGGTTAGACGACAACAGTTCTTACCGACGGCTCTTCCCGTCGCTCGTCGAGCACTTTGTGGACCTTGTAAGCGCAGGCACACATGCTGCTGCTTCTCTTATCCGAGACGCGCACGTCGACATTCTCATCGACGCTCAAGGTCACACTCTCGGTAACATAACCAAGATCTTACTCTGGCAACATCCTCGCGACGACGTAGGTCAGCGCCACGACATTGTGGCCCAGCAGCCCGCACCGATTATCATCAGCTACTTGGTGTTCCCTGGCACATTGGGGGCGCCGTATGTTGATTATCTGCTGGCGGATGCCCACGTGGCTCCACCAGAGCACGCACGTATGTACTCCTTTGGATGGTGGCACAAGGCGGAATCGCTCGGTAGACCACTTTGTTGAAAAGCTCCTGATTGTGCCGCACTCGTACCAAGTCAACTACTTTGCGTCGCCCGTCCCCTTCTCCGAAACGCGGCGCACCGGGCGCTTTGTCTTTGCCAATTACAACAAGATCGATAAGCTCGAGCCACGCGTGTTTGGCGTCTGGATGCAGATCTTACGCCGGGTACAAGCAGCAGTGCTCGTCCTTGACGTGTTATGCCAAGACGTAGGTGCCCGCGAGCGATTTGTGGTTGCTGGCGCCAACGTCGACCAAGTCGGAGCAGTTGACGATGCGGCATGTGCGCATGGAAGCTGCCGTCTACGGCATCCCACCTTCCCGCATTCGGTTTCTACCACGGTACAGCCTCTCTCAGGCAATGACGGACGTGCCCACGAACGGTTGCGTAGCGTCACCAAGGCGGCTCACTTGGCGCGCCAAGCAGACGCAGATTTGTTTCTCGATACCTTTGTGGTACTCCTTTCGTCGCCACAATGAATATGGTGGCATATTGCTGCTAGTATGGAGCGCACTCGACGGCAACCGATGCAATGTGGGGACACCTTCCGGTGCTCACCCTCGCCGGCGACTCCTTCACAAGGTGCGGCATCGTTGCGTATAATTCAGCTCGTACGAGTCGTGTAGTCGGGTCGGAATCTCCTTGGCCGCCAACGCCAACAGCCTCGAACTCGTTGTCCACAGCGCCAAAGAATTTGCCGACGTCGCGGGTACCGACATCTTGTCATATTCAGCGCCTGGAACTGATACCTGCCTTCTAGTCTATCTAGCGAATCATCGCTCAGTCCTGGCGGCTTTGCGAAAATCTGTGGCCCTTGGTCAAGCGACGGCGCCTCTCTTCGACACCGCTGGATTTACCAGATCGCTAGAAGCTATGTACCGACTAGCATACGAGCTGCACGCCTGCAATATATCGCGACGTCACATTGTACTTGGAGTATAACTATTCTCACTAAATAAGATCTACTTTACGGAATCGAATTGGAATGTCGACAGCTTACATGGTCCAAGCCAAGGAGGATGGCAGGAACTCCACACAAAAAGCGTTCTTCTCTTTGCCCAACTCGTCGCCTTGAGCATCTTCCCGCATTTCGGCGGCAAAACACCGCCAGCAACGACCTACGCCGTCGACCACGAACTTGGCCGACGGAGCACAGATTTGGGACTGAGTTCTGATGGCACTTCACCAAGGCGTGACGACCAGTCAATTGAAACTTCGAGCGCGACGAAGTTCGAAGTTATGGCTTTGCAGTTTTGAACACTCGAAGTTCTTATAACGAGATCCCAGGAAGTCCAATAGTGCTTCAAATAGTATATGTAATACTATATTATAGAATTATCCTGCTCCGTTACGACTGTCGTAGCGTTCTAGTACGTCAGGATACTCGCAACAGTTCAAACAAATGCGTACATTCTTTATACGGGTATGAGAGAGGTAGCATTTTACGTATTCATGTTGTTGCAACCAAAGGCGCGGTCGAATCCTGATCATGCTGTTGCGAAGAAAAGTGACGAACACTATTTCGGTATTGTGGTGCTGTCCTACTATCGCGCGTGACGCATTCCATGACGTGGCACACTCTCGATTAAGTGCGGTGTCTGGTCCAGGTTTCGAACTTCGAAGCTGGGGCGCGATACTTTGATCAAGTCCGAGGAGCGCGTGTGCTTGTATCGCGTGTGAATTCTTGTATCAAGGGATGAGTCGAGCGGCCTTCTTAAGTTCGGATTTCGGGCAACTTGAAGAACGCTGGGTGTTGACTTGACACGATCGCGAGCGTGGGGCAGACAAAGATTGGATCTACGACCGAGCGATGAGCAGCGCCGCCGAAGTGTTTACGATCATGGCCGCGGCCGTCGCCGACGCCGGCGAGGCCCTCGTCAAGAAGGTCAATGGCAGCATCAAGTTTGACGTCAAGGGCGCGGGCATGTGGCTCATCAACCTCAAGGCGGCGCCGGGTGCGGTGACGGCGTCCAACGCCGGCGAGAAGGCCGATCTCACCATCACCATCAGCGAGCCCGATTTTGTGGACCTCATCAACGAGAAGCTCAACCCGCAAGCTGCTTTCATGAAGGGCAAGATCAAGGTCAAGGGCAACATGGGCCTTGCCATGAAGCTCTCGGCGGTCACGAACGCGACCAAGGCGTATTTGGCCAAGCAGAAGAAAGCGCCCGCAGCGGCGGCGCCGGCGGCAGCTGCGCCGGCGGCGACCAGTGGCTTGAAGTCGGCGGCGCTCTTTGTGGGCATTGGCGAAGCGGTCAAGACGCAGGGCCCGGCGCTCGTTGCCAAGGTCAAGGGCACCATCCAGTTCAACATTGCGCCGGGTACGTCTAGACTAAATGCACGGACCGTCATCATTAACATGACGGAATCCTAGGTGGCGCGTGGTTCCTCGACCTCAAGAACGGCAACGGGTCGCTCGAAACCGGCTCCAAGCCAGCGGACTTGACCATCAACGTCTCGGACGAAGACTTTATGGCGATCGCGGACGGCAAGCTCAACGCGCAGCAGGCCTTTATGAAGGGCAAGCTCAAGGTCAAGGGCAACATGGGCCTTGCCATGAAGCTCAACATCGTCATCGACGCAGCCAAGCCCAAGGCCAAGCTCTAAACGTGTTGTCAATGAATAAACCATTTTGCGTTGCTTCCGTACACGTCCGATGAACCCAGCAGATTGCTGCCTTCGCCTTGATGGCTGTCGATTGAAATGGAACGAGCGTTTGGTAGTTTGAAGAGTCTAGCATAGGCTCGTGGTTGCTGCAATAAGATCTTGGTATTTTTTTCGAGCCTTGGTTGACAATCACATCGCGTAGCCGGAAACTCATACGGCTACGCGATGTGATTGTCAACCAAGGCTCGAAAAAGATGGTCGATGGCGACGCCAGCACCTACGACAGCCCATGCGGCATCGTGGCTGTGCATTGGACTGCACAGCAATCACATGTGCGGGCAACTTGGCCTTGCAGAAGACTCGGTGGCGCATGTAGAAGGGATGGATGAGATGGGAAAGGGGTCTTCTTTGGACTACTTATTCTAAACGATGTCCCCTCTTCCGGCCTCTAAGACATCATTACATTTCCTACAAACTAGTATGGCGATCGGCGCACAAGGTCGATACGTTTAGGGCGCGAGGTTCGCCTTGGAGCCGCGCTTCTTGTACTTGACCGTCTCCCAGCCATCTTCCTGGGCGTGCGTCGGTTCGACGCTGGGCGCGCTCACCGCGTCCTTGGGCACCTTGGACTTCTTGGCCTTGACCTTCTTCTCCGGCTCGGACGCCGACGCCGGCTCCGAATCGGTACCAGCGGCCGCCTTCTTCTTCTTGGCGGCCTTCTTCTTGGCGTTACGCTTGCGGTTGGTCTCAGCGCGGGCAGCGGCTTCGTCCTCCGAGTCGGGAAAGTCGCCGACAAACTGCTGCAAGTCAATGGGCTCCGACTCGACGGGCGCGGCAACGGGCGCCGGCGCCGGGGCTTCCTCCTTCTCCTTCTTCTTCTTGAGCTTCTTCGGGAGCTCCGGCGCCTTCTTCTTGATGGACTTGGCCGACGACGGCGCGGGCGCGGACGAGCCCATGGCGAAGTAGGCGCCAACGCCGGCGACGACAGCGGCGCCCGCAAGGAGCACGCCCGGTTGACTCAGAAGCTCGGCCATCGTGGTGCTGTGTGGTTTTGGCTGCAAATGGGAAAATGACCTCTCCGTCTTTGCCCCTCGTATTTTAAAAGATCGCTTCGATTTTTGAAAGTATACAAACACCAAGTGTGTGGAGATCGTCGCGCATTTTAAACGCGGCATACAAACTCCAAGAGACTTTGAAACACCCGCACGCGAATAGAATTAATCGAAATATCTCGAAAATAAAATAAAAGGATTCACTTCAAGAAACTTGAATAGTGTGCAATCACGGCCTGCGAAATGGTTGTTTTGGGGGCAACGTTCCTGTCGCCTCCCACATGTATCGTCATGACGGTGGTCCCTTGCTATTCGCACACGCTTCAAGCACATACCCCATTCCTTCCACATGTTGCCTTGGGCCAGACGCAAGACTGGCAAGGGACATTGGTCCCACGCACAGCGCATTCATGCTACACTCCTCAGTGGGAATACACCGTGCGGCAAGGAATCGCCGCGGTGGGATGTCACGCTCGTCTCTGTACATTTGGTATTGTGACTACCCAGTACAATGCACAAACAGCATGCTGCATTGCCTGACGAAGATGGATGCCCATCAAAAGATCAACACTATTTATGGTCGACACTAAATAGACGGAATAAAAATACGGTAAATATAATGCAACGACGTCCATAATTTAATTGGCACGGCCACAAGTGTCCACGTGTTGCGTGGTGTTTGTGACACCAAAATGACTTGGTGTCGAGCGAGCTTGTAATGGCGCGAGTTACTTAGCGTCACTGCAGTAGCCAACACCGACAACGGCAATGACAAAGACCTTGACGTCGTCAAAGAACGGCTCTTCTGTCGGTAAGAACACTCGAATTGTAGGGAGACGCGCCGGGATGACACACCGACAATGGACTGGTGCTTTGGTCGTAAGCATCGCGCCGTAGCAACCGAAAGGTCCGAGATAAACGACGAGCTTGTGGTATGTGGAATACACCCATGGAGTTTTCCTTGGCTAGGCGGCTGATACGGCGGAGCGAGCGGCCATCCAAATCCGTACGACGCAATATTGGCAGGCTAACAATGGACCCTCGCTAGGTTTATGCGCGGATGGAGTGGAGCGCCATGACTGTTGCCTTGGAGGCAAACTCTGCAAGATGCGACGGAAACCCAGCTACTGTACGTACACCTGCTGGTAGCGATGGCAACACTGTTCGAAGCGCACCACATTTAGCAGCAGCTTGCTGCAGCGGAACTCGAGGACTTGAGGAAGGCCCGTTGCGACGTTGTTCATTGAGTCGTAGTGTCGGTGACAGTAGACGCGAAGGGGTTGAGCCGCCCGACGCCCTGACGCTGTTCGAGACCCATCGGTAGCCCCAACGACGTTAGGGCGACGGATCTACCATTGCGTGAAGGCGTCTGCGTCGGTCGCAGCGTCGGAGTCGGCGTGTCGGGCGTCGGTAGCACTACGGGCGTCGAGGTTTGGTGGTAGAAATGCAATGATTGCCGCCCGGCCGCAATTGCCGACGACCGACCGGCAGTTGTCGGCGGTTTGTGGGTCGCCCGCTCGGTTGCCGACATATCCGACTGGCATTGCTAGCGTAACAGTAGTTGCCGCGGTCCGGCGGCGTGCCCAACCGCAACCCACGGTCACTGCCGGGGGGAAAACTTCGTCACAATTTCGTTGGTGTCATCGAGCCGCCTGGCACCACATCGACGTCCACCTGACAGAGATCTACCGACGGGTCATGCGCCCGAGAGCCGGGGTCGGTGGCGGCCAAGGGCAGTTGATCGCTGTTGGTGAAGGCTGGGCGAGGTTGTAGTCGACGATGGATATCACGGGCGCCTGACCCATTAATCAATAGAAAAGTCGTTCGCGTCCAGATAGGCAAGAGTAGTGTGCCTGGATGAGTGGTGGAGCGCGACGGAACGGCGCTGGTCGTGGTCGGGGTTGCGCTAAAGTCGTTGTCGCTACGTGCGTGTTGTCGGCCAAACGCGTCCGGGACCTGTGCAGACGCGGAGTGGTCAGACAATTCGGCGCGTCCATCGGCATTCGAACAAAGGCCTCCAAAATCTAGTTTCTAAGCTAACGTTAAGCCAAGAAACTCACACTTCTTCAACTTCACAATGTCGGTCATGTAGATTTCATGCATGTAAAGTTACGCGTGTCCTGAACCGGCCCCAAACTACAATGCTAGTGCACTACTTGTGGCAAGTCGTGCAATTGCAGTTTCAAGCGAAGCAAGTCGCTGATGCATCTGCGCTGCGTCAGCGGCTACCTGCTGCTCGAGGACCGACAACCGTTTCAGAAGCTCGGCGTTGGCTGCGCTTGTCATCTGGAGTTGCTCTTGAAAAGCAGTGGATTGGTCGTTGAGGCGGCTCTCACACGCTTGCAGCTGGATGTCGAGTTTTTGAACTTGGGAAACAACGTACGGGATGAGCCCAATGTAGTTCATCGAAAGCATGCCGTTGCTGTCGGCGGACACGAGGTGGGGCAAGCACGTGGCGACTTCCTGCGCCAAGAAACCGGCTTGCAGACCTGGTGGTGCCCACGTTGTATTGGTCCACTCAAACTCGACCTACGCAAAGTTATTCTCTATCGTACTTCATAGTACATAAAGGAATTTACCGGGTGGAGAGCATGAAAGACGGCCGATGTCACTGACGCCGAGCGTAGCACTCGCTTTAGCCGCGCGTCCGAGCGCTGTGTCATCGTTGCGCCAGAAATGGTGCTGTCCGACCAAATCTTACCGGCGACACCGATGCCACCTGCGACTTGGAGGACACCCGTGGTAGACGACGAGGTATCTGTCGTTGAAGACAGCACCACGGTGCCTGATATTGTAGCGCCATTCCCAAACGTCGTCGTTCCAGATACGTCGAGACCTCCGCTGAGCGAGGCGAGGCCGCTCACTCCAAGCGCACCTGTTGCTGTTACGTCGCCAGTGACTGCCGCACCGCCAGCACTGACAGTGAGCCCAGCGGTACCAATGGTAGCGCCGGCTGAGAGCGTCGCGATACCAGAGACAACGAGTGTGCCCGTTGCAGTGACAGTACCAGTAATAGCGCAGCCGCCCGACGACACGACGAGACCGCCGGCGACAGAGGCCCCATCGGCAGCCACAACAAGGCCACCTCGTTGAATCGTTGTCACGCCATCGCCACGCACGTCGAAGAGCGCCGTTGTCGTGCCACTGGCGTACATTCGGAGCATGTAAAAGGTTGAGGCAGGCGCCGCTGCGGCTGTTACCTTGAGCACCACCATATTGTTGGCGGGTGTGAGGGTACTCGCTGAGGATGCAATGGTGGCGACGTTGGCTCCGTCGACCGAGTTCGTGATCGAAGCCGTTGAGGCAACGGATAGCGCTGCATTCAGCGTGGTAGTGCCAGTAACAACAAGCGTGCTACCCGCCGCGACAGCCCCGGAGAGCGTTGAAGTACCAGTCACTGCAAGAGTAGAATCGAGGGCCGTCGCCCCGACGACGTGCAGCGTGCTCGATGCCGTCACCGCGCCAGTCACGGCAAGAGTAGAATCGAGGGCCGTCGCCCCGACGACGTGCAGCGTGCTCGATGCCGTCACCGCGCCAGCAATGGAGGCGGTCCCTGTCGACACGACGAGGTTGCCTTGGTGCAGCGTCGTCGTGCCGTCGCCAAGCACGTCGAAGAGCGCCGTTGTCGTGCCACTGGCGTACATTCGGAGCATGTAGAAGGTTGAGGCAGGCGCC